ACTAGTTCAACGAGAGAGAGAGAGAGAGAGAGAGAGAGAGAGAGAGAGAGAGAGAGAGAGAGAGAGAGAGAGAGAGAGAGAGAGAGAGAGAGAGAGAGAGAGAGAGAGAGAGAGAGAGAGAGAGAGAGAGAGAGAGAGAGAGAGAGAGAGAGAGAGAGAGAGAGAGAGAGAGAGAGAGAGAGAGAGAGAGAGAGAGAGAGAGAGAGAGAGAGAGAGAGAGAGAGAGAGAGAGAGAGAGAGAGAGAGAGAGAGAGAGAGGAGAGAGAGAGAGAGAGGAGAGAGAGAGAGAGAGAGAGAGAGAGAGAGAGGAGAGAGAGAGAGGAGAGAGAGAGAGAGAGGAGAGAGAGAGAGAGAGAGAGAGAGAGAGAGAGAGAGAGAGAGAGAGAGAGAGAGAGAGAGAGAGAGAGAGAGAGAGAGAGAGAGAGAGAGAGAGAGAGAGAGAGAGAGAGAGAGAGAGAGAGAGAGGAGAGAGAGAGAGAGAGAGAGAGAGAGAGAGAGAGGAGAGACAGAGAGAGAGACAGAGAGACAGAGAGAGACAAAGGGAGAGAGAGAGGAGACAGAGACAGAGACAGAGACAGAGACAGAGAGAGAGGAGACAGAGAAACAGACAGAGAGACAGACAGAGAGACAGAGAGACAAGGGGGGGGAGAGAATGAAGTTGTTGTGTGAGTCCATGCCCCCATGGGATAGTAAAAATTGGTCATTGAACAGACCATCACCATGAAGCGGAAAATAGTCCTACCCACTTACTATAGATAAATACCTGGAAGTGCGCAGGGGACCTTGGTAAGCCATAGCACCCAAGGGAGAGAGGATAACCATCATTAAAGCCCCTATAGTCTCCAAGGATGGAAAGAAGATTCTGGAACTGCCTAACTGGAGTCTTCTGGTCAGGATAAGGTCTACAGGCCACCACGGCAGAGTCCGTAGCAAGTGACAAGGGTCATTTCTGACTTACTCAGGCACTGGCCCAGCCCTGCTTCCAGGTGGCCTGCAGATGACTGGGGTCAGCAGAGGTCAGAGGATCCCAGGGATGCAAGTTCCCTGTGCCCAAGCCAACCTTCCCTTTCTATGTCCTCTCCCTTCTAAAGATGGGTCAATACAGCACCCCTTCTGCAGGGCATAGAGGGGGTACCCTCTACCCCAGCCATCCCAGACCCTGTGTGACACTGTGTCATATACTCCTCCTTCACGAATCTGTCACCCACGGTTTGCACCAGGAGAGCACAAGCCCTTGGGAAGTGACATGCCGAGATCATAGTCCCGTTGGACAGTAGAGTTGGGGGGTGGCATCCAGGTATCCTGGCCCATGTCTCACTCCTGGATCATGGCCCAGAATGCTTCAGATTCCACCTTGGAACACAGGAGGGCTGTGTGAAGGGAACCAGTCCTGAGGGGAGGGCTGGTTTCTCCTCTTTGCTGGAATCTCTCTGGCAACCTTGAGATGAAGGGTGGTCCAGTCAGGGCTCCCCATACTTCTGTACCATGCCAGGCCCGGGCGAGAAAGCTTTGCCATACAGGGACAGGTCCCTTTCTGTGATGCTTGCTAACCCTAGGGCCTTCGGTGCCATGGGCTGAGAGGGGAAGGGGTGTGATGAGTCAGCACGTCTCTACCCTTGGTGACCCTTGAAATCTGCTTGGGAACAGAGACCTGGGGGGTGGGGGAGGAGTATAGGGCAGACTGGGTGAGTGAGTGAGGCTGGAGGTTTCTCCATGCAAGCCTGAGCAGCCTTTGTCTGACATGACCAGGAAGGCTAATGAGTTCAGCTTGGGCTGTGGGTTCTCTGGGCCAAGTGTCTTTCTTTCTCTTTCCAGTCCATTTCACACAGCTTCATCTAGGAAGTCTTCCTAAATTGTCATTTTCCAGTTGCCCCTCCCTCACCCTCTGTGTTGGTCTCTACTGCCAGGCCTGGCTGTCCCTTCTTCTGTGAACAATCTGACGGGACACCATCCCGTTCTCCACCTTCCACCTCTTGTGAAACATCTGGACTGGAGGGCCTGCTTTGCCCTGAGTTCTTTATCCTTTGGAACCACTCAATCGCCACAGCCCTGTAAGTGAGAGAAACTAAGGTTGGAGAGGACGGAGCTGTACAGGTCGTGAGGTAGCAAATTTTGAATGAAAGGTAGGCATTTCTGAATGCATGAGGTATGCTATCTGCCCAGCCTAATGCTGTCTTTCAAATGTTTACTTAGAAGAATTCCAAAAGAAGTGACAAAATGGACTGCTGGTGTGCCCATGTGATGGAACCACAGTGTCCTCAGCTTGGGAAGAGTGGTCTGTTTGTAGCAGGAGAAGCAGTTTTGTTAAAAAGTTTAAACATTACACACACACACACACACACACACACACCACACATATATAGTGTGTGTGTGTATATATGTGCATGTGTGTGTAAACATACTTTCATGTATGTGTGTGAGTGCACACATCCACCCACCACAGTGCCTGGATTTTTCCTTCTAAGATGTGGGTTCCAGGGGTTGAACTCAGGTCGTCAGGCTTGGCAGCAGGTAGATACATTCTTGTATCATTAGATTTCACTGTTTCTCTCTCTCTCTCTCTCTCTCTCTCTCTCTCTCTCTCTCTCTCTCTCTCTCTCTCTGTTTCTTCCTCCCTTCCTTTTCCGTGCAGACATATTTTCTGGCTTGAACAGTGAAAGGGACCTCTGGGTCTCCCTGTTAGATCTGTCCTCCCATGGGAAACAAAAAGCCATTATGGGTTCAGGTGTGGAAGCCTCCTGAGGGATAGAGGAGCACGTGGTCAGAAACAAGTTGGGTTCTGTGGACATCTGTGATTCTAGACTCTGGCCCTTGTGTAGTAGGTGGGAGACAGTGTGTCACTCTGGGGCCGGGGCCAGGGCCAGTTGGTGGCATCACGGCATGACAGAGTCGCCTCAGCTCCCGTCCTCTCCTTTGTCTCCCTCACTCTCCCATCGTCTGCTTCTCTTGGTCCTCTCTCTCTCCTCCTCTCTTCTGCCAAATCCTCTGGTCCTCCTTTTGTGGAGCCCATCAGCATCGCCCCCCCCACCAGCATCATCCCCCCATCAGCAACACCATTGCCCAGCCTAGGGACAGATCCCTCAGGCGACTGCACCTCCTACCCGCCTCTTTCCAGGTCAGCCTTGCCCTTTGCAGTGTTCTACCATGGTGGGAATGTGTTCTTCTTGCCCTCCTACAGGGCGGCTATGGTCCTGTGTTCACATCCATCATTGTACAGGGAACCACCCAGGAAGAGAATCAGAGCAACAATGACTTCATTTTACTTCAGCTAAAAGGAAGGAGCTATTTGGAGCTAATGGTTACTTACAGTAGACATCAGAACTTGGGGTGGGGGTTGGGATGTATCAAGCATTAGACTTCAGAAACCCCTGGGAGTACCCTCGGCACTGTCCGGGTAAACCCTACTTTGTCCAGGTCTGCCTCGGTGTAGAGGTCTAGGTACTAGGCTTGGAGATCGATGATGACCTTGGGCAAATCACTTGACCTGTGTGCCCCTGGAGCCTTTTCTATGAAATGCTGAGGGTATTTCCCTACACACCCTGAAGTCTCTTTCCTTCTCCATCTCCAGTTGTCTTTGAATAGGACCTTGCTGTGATCAGGGTATGAGCTGGAGGGCAGGCGGCTGTGCCCCAGTGTGCATTCCCGTGCAGGAGCAGTGAATGCTTAACAAATTTCTTTCTTTTAGGGGGAGGGGGAGGGGAGGGTTTGAGGCAGGGTCTCACCATGTAACCTAGACTGCCCCTGACCTGACCCACTCATTCTCCTGTCTCCCCAGCGCTGAGATTACAAGGGCACCTGGTTTTCTGCCCAGGCCTGTTTCACCAAGCAGCATGGGTCTAGGAAATGGGTTGAAGGCTACAGAGCTAGTGAGATGGTTGCAACCCAATTCCACTCCTGGCAGGTTCCCTGGCCTGGGCTGTTTGTTTCACAGTGCCTAGACTTCCTCTTTGACCATAAAAGTCTCCCGGAAAGCCCTCCCACAGAGGCCTCAGGGGCTTTCTCAGGGAATGTGTGAGTATGTGCACACAGTCATCCAGTATGCTATCCCAAAGAGCTGTGGTCTAGCATGAAGGGGTGTATGTAAGTGTCTGCCCCAGCTTGGGTGAAGGGATCTGGCACTTAGGGCCCTAGCTTTATGAAATGCTTAAATTTCAAGTCAATTTGAACAGTCGAGGCATGCGCACATGAGTTTCTACAGATATGCATGTACTTTATGTAGAGAGGTATAGGGATGAGAGATAATTATTTCTTTGCTCCTTGCAATGCCTCTGCCCATAGGTTTGCTCCACCTCTCCCAAGATCCAGAGAAAGGATGGTGACCCCTGACAGAGAGCTGCTGTCAGGCTGCTTGGGTTTGGGGCATGTTCACAGACGAGGGCTGAGGGAGGTCTAATGCGCCATTGAGATGCCGCTCTCTTCCTCCCCTAGATGGTGTCCAGGCCTTGGTATCCTGGGTCATAGAACCTGCCTGTCAGGGTGTATCGTCAGAGTGAAACTTCGCTAGATGCCTCAGGGGAGAAGGCAGTGAAGGCTTGTGAGCCCAATTTTCCAACCTCGAGGTGCTCAGGGTCAAGTCCTTGGACGCCACCAGCTCTTCTCCACACACCCAACACCATTGCACTAGACCTTCCATGGATGGATGTGGTCTCTAGGGGCATGTGGAGAGTAGGGGTGTGAGTCAGAAGTGACCAGGCTTTCATCAGCCCTGAATCAGAGGGAAGGCAGGGAGGAGGGTGGGAGTTGACTGTAGATAGTCTTGCGGTTCTGTAGGAATGAAAGCATCCTGACGAAACTAAGGCCTTCTGGAAGGTCTGAGGCTCCTGATGCACCCAGATATACAGGCCATTGATACATACCCCAGAATAGGACAGACCACCAAAAGCTTGAGAGAGTTAGGAGAAAGACTGTGAAGGGGGGGTAGTGGTGGTTGATCCTTTGGGTTCCTGTGAACTCTGGTTCCATAAGAGGCCTCACCATTTCAATACTTCTTTGCCCTGCAGACCCAGACCTCCCGGCTGAGGGTTGAAGTGGTTTCTTGTGACTACAGGAGTGACAGGCTGGGTTCAGAGGATCAGGGTGGATGTGAGTATTGGGTAGTACATCTTACAGTGTCCGCATTTGCCTCAGGGTTTTCTGCTGCCATGTGAGTAGAAAAGAATGGGGGTGTTTTGGGTTGTGTTGGGTCTTTACAAAGGAGCTGTGGTGGGATGTGGTTTTCTCTTCAAAGCTAGCAGCCCCGATGCGATCTAATGCAGTGAGGTTGAGCTCTGGCCAGTTGGTATCTCCTCCTAGTTCTCTATTGCCCTTTCTTGCTCTTCTGGTTTCCCATCCAAATGCAAGAAGTTCCCATCTGTGTCAGGATGACACAAACATTACAGCTCCCTGCTAGAGCCGGAGAGCCCTAACTGCCCCAGGCCTTGACTCTATCCATCTCGCTAGCCAGAAGTGTCACCACCCAGGGCTACAGCCATTCATCTAACATAGAGTATAGATAGACTCTCCGGGGTTCTAGTTACAGTCGGTCTGAACACTGCTTCACCTCCCCTTCCTTTGAGTAGACGCTTGACCCAGGCAGGCTGCTAGGCAGTTGTGCAGGCATGGGTGAACCACCGACAACAGCTCCATGGGAGCACTATATGATGAGCTAGGGCCACGCCCGCATTCAACAAAGGGCCACATTCGTGACCCTGGCATCTACAGAATCAGGTACCCATAGCAGAAACGGTTTAGAACCCAGTTCTCTTGATCTCCCCACTCAGTTTGATAATCTTTAATAAGACAATACTTTCATTTTCTTAGGACTCTTTATGCCTGGAGTCGGGAAAAATTTATCTGGGTGGAGTGTTTTCTTCTTCCAAAGCCAATGGTGACAGGTACCGGGCACAGGGCTGCTGCTTAATAAATGCTTGCCGGTGGACTTGCATCTCTTGGGGAATCCTGTGTCATCATCACTGTTGAGGGCGGTTGCTAGAAATGAGATAGCAGGTGAACTACTCCTCCATCTCTTGGGTCACAAACCCTCTCTTAGCTCCCCTCAATCCTGAGATCTGAGCAAGGGAGGAGGTCTTTGCAGTGCTGCCATCCTGACTAAGTTGGAGAAATAAACAAGATGCTATTATGCCAAGAAGAGAGGAGTTACATCAAAAGTATCTCTGAAAGGAAGAAAGCCAATTTTTTTTTGCCTTATGTGAGATGCATGGATAGGGGGAGAGACGGAAAAATGCCTGGGTAATTAACTTAATAGGTTTCTTAAAGAATGCCCTTGTGAGTGATGTTCAACACATTCAAGTGTTGACAAGAAGGCATTGAACTTGACGCCCACGCAGCGGGCAGAAGCATGCTCTGGGCTCTGACACACCTTCGTCTGAAACGTGTAGTAAACTCTGTGCTGGGTTGTGAAATTGGTCCCAGGGAATTTATGCTGTGGGGGCTCTGAGGTCAAGGTCCCTGCTCCTAGGTAGGTTAAGGTGACTATCCTGGAAGGAGATCTTATGAGTAGGATAACAGGGGTGGATAACCTTGACTTAGAAGTCTAGGGATGCCACTGTACAGAATGAAGCCCTGTCCCTCCTTCCAAGCCCCGGTTGCCTTTAAATGAATAAGTCTAACACCCAGGGGCATCTGTGAGACCCCAGGACTCCCCTAGAAGAATTATCAAAAGAATCCAGGTGAATGTGTAACTATGGACGTTCCCTTTCTATGAAATGTAGAGAGGGGAGAGAGGTTTCCAACCATTGGTGAGCTGGCAGAATAGGAACTTTGCCTTAGAAGGTGTGTGTGTGTGTGTGTGTGTAACAAACACTGGTTGCTCTTGGTTGAAGTCATAGGGGATATGTAAGTCATCTTGATCTCTCAAATAGAGGACAGTACCCTTTGCCAAGCAGCCTGCTTCCAAGGCCGTACATGAGGATGAGCCTTGGCCTCTGTGCCTATTTAGTGCCTACCAGCTACCTCCCTGTTTGTCTGTCATCCGGCCCTCCTGTCATCAGTGGTCCACTCATCCATCCTTTCTGGGATGTGAGGCTCCGACTTATCAGATTAAACTTTTCAGGCTGAGACCGGGTGGCAAGGGATGCCACGACAGTGATGGTGGCCAAATCTGCCAAGTGGAATAAAGGTGATAAAAATGTCCTTTCCTCTTCTCCTGCCTTCCTTCTTCCCTCCTTCTCTCCTCCACCTCCTTTTTCCCTCCTTCTCTTTCTGAGACAGGGTCTTCTATGGCCAAAATGCTTGAATTGTTAGTGTAGCCGAGGGTGACGTTGGACTTGTAGCTCTGGGAATTGGAATTACAGGCATGTGCCCACCACTACGTAGGCCTGGTTTACAGGATGCTGGGAAGTGAACCGAGGGCCCTGTGCATGGCAGGCACACATTCTGTTATCTGAGTCACACTCCCAGCCCCAAGAACTTTTCTTTCTTAGGTACTTAAGAAAATGATTTAAAACAAAACAAAAAACACCACCACCTATGCCTATAGTTTAGACAGCTCATATCAAGGGTGTCATCTAAAAACCCGAATTGAGTCCCATGATTCATGTTTTTTTTGGGGGGTGGGCCTGGCAAAAAATATCAGTAACTGCCTTCCCCTAAAGACACACACCAGACTGTGGGAGAGTGGGGTGAACTGAAGTTATGCCTCATTTACAAATGGCAGTCCAGGAAGTGGGCCCTGCCTTGTAACTGCAAAGTCTGGATTAGCTCTTTGCTCCTGTCCTGGACAGCAGCACTTTGTTTGGGGCTTATTCCTGCCTGGAGAAGCCAGTTCTCGGAAAGTGCAGGATTCTGGAGTTTCAAACACACCCTTAGTATACTTCTAGGAAGAGAAATGACTGCCCATCTTTCTGGTCACTCCTGAAACATTTGGGCATGGTATCAAAGAAAAGGCCGTGTCCGTGGAGGGGACACAGTTCATTTCAGCCATCTCCTACACCGCCACTACCATTCTCCATCATGAAGACATACGCTTCTGCCCCTCCTTTTCCTGATTGCCTAATCTGAGTTTCCCAAAGGCAGAGCGCAAGCGTTGATCAGATTCCCCATTTGCCTTTTGACGCTGATGTGTGTCAGTTCGGCACACCCTTACTGAGCATGTTCCATGTCTAGAGTCAAGGCTACATCCATAGTCCCCCAGCTCCTCGTCTTAAGGAGAGGCTATCACCCTGATTGCTACAGAGCCTCCCATACCATTCTAAAGTCCAGAGGATGGATGACACTCCATGTTAGGAGCCACGAGGAGCTTTGGGAACCTTGGAAACAAGCTGGGTTCCAGAGCTGCAACCCCATTTCAACAAAGTAGGCCCTACCTCAAAACAACAAGACTACAAGGTGCACATGGAACTCTGCAGGAATCAGTCATGAGAGTGACAACGTCTTTTTTTCTTTTTTTGGTACCCATCATACATGTGTTTGTTTATTAATGTGCATCTGTATGGAAGCCAGAGGACAACCTTGGGTATCATTGCTTTTAGTGTCTTTCAGAGTGTGAACATGCATGTGGTCTGTGTCTTGGTGTGCTCACACCAGTGTGTAGACTATGTGCGACTGTGTGCACTGCATGTGTGGAAGTTGACATCTGCAGACTTCATCACTTTCCACTTTTATTTATTGAGGAAGGATCTCTCCTTGAACCAAAGAGTTCACCAGTTGTGGTGATTACAGCTAGTCAGCCTGCCCCAGGGATCACCTGTCCCTGCCTCTCAAGTGCCGGTGACTACAGGCAGACACCATGCCTTTTATGTGGGTTCACAGGACACTCCATGACATTCAAATTTTATGTGAGTGCTGGTGACTTGAAGGCAGCTCCTCATGCTTGCACACTAAGCGCTTTAACAACTGAGCCATCTCCCCAGTCCAAACTACTTTAGAAAGTAATATTCACTTCCCTTAGAGCAGTGGTTCTCAACCTGTGGGTCGTGGCCCCTTGGGGGCTTTTGAATGACCCTTTCACAGATAGCCTGCATATCAGATATTTACATTACAATTCATAACAGTGGCAAATTACAATTATGAAATGGCAACAAAAATAATCTTATGGTGGCGGTGGTCCCCACAACTTGACGAACTGTATTAAAGGGTCACAGCATTGACTTCTAAGACTTGAGAAAATAATGAAATCACATCAGGCACTATCCATGTTGGTGTGTTTCACGTGGACATGGATGCTGGGAGGGAGGCCTTTAGAGTCAGGTGGGTCCCCAGCAGCTGTCAAGACATTGAAGTTTAGAAGTCTAAGGTCAGGGAAGCTACAGACTTGCTGGGGCATTTCCTAGGTCACCCACCACTCCTCCTGGATGCCCTGGGAAGGGCAGGAACCAATGTGCTGGCTTATGCCGTGAGAGTGGCCACTTACAGATTTTGGATTGAGAAGAAGAAAAACCTCTGGACTAGACTCTCCACCCTGGCGTGGGAAGTGTGAGGGGCTGGAGCAGGGAGGCAGGAAGTGAGCGCAGATGGACAGGCCTGGGCAGCTGTGCAGGGAACAGAGCACATCTGTCTGGGAGTAAGCTTGGCAGGGCCCCTCCCTCAGCCTCTCTGCAGAGTGTGGGCTGGGTTTGGGTCCCAGATGGGGATCATGATAGGAAAGAAAAGGGCCAAGCTAGAGGCTAGGAATGGAAACGAGAGAGAGAGAGAGAGAGAGAGAGAGAGAGAGAGAGAGAGAGAGAGAGAGAGAGAGAGAGAGAGAGAGAGAGAGAGAGAGAGGGAGGAGGGAGGAGGGAGGAGAAAGGGAGGAGGGAGGAGAGAGGGAGGAGAGAGGGAGGAGAGAGGAGAGAGAGAGGAGAGAGAGAGGAGAGAGGAGAGAGGAGAGAGAGACAGACAGAGACAGAAAGAGAGAGGAGAGAAAGAGAGACAGAGAGAGAGCGTTCAGGTGGAAACTACGAATGTTGCTGAGCAATGTGGAAATGTGGGAAAGGAAGACGCATGAGACAAAGCAGAAGTTCGTTGAATGAATAAATGGTTTTGTGGCCTAAAGTAGCCTGAAATTTCCTCTAATTAGCTTCAAATACTGCCAGGAAGCTTATCCCAAGTAGACACCTGGCAGAGATCTTTGGGAGATAGAAGCAGGATCAGACTACTGGGGAATT